AACCTTAGATTTTAACCCAGTTTTATGTACAATGTCAGACACTACACATCTAATTTTTCACTAACTTTCTTTGAAAGTGCCATGAAAAATGTCAAATATCCCCAACAGCAAGAATGTCAGCTGAAGCGCTGAAGAGATCTGGGTTTACAAGAACAGCTATTAACTTTGGCAGCAGTTTGCTGTTTTTCCACAATCCAAAGCATGTTGTCTTTATGAGTAATGTCGTCTGTAAGTGTGAATAACACTATTCAAACATTTGCGCTTTGGGGTACTTAGGACCAAGTAAAGCGCTATACAAATACAGACCATTTACCATTTACCATTTAAAAATGGTCCAAAAGTAGGAAAAAAGCATTTTACACTTGTTTTCCATCAAGCAGCTGAATCACATGTTTTCTCACATAAATTGACAAAAAAGTAACTAAAGACAAATGCAGCAGCAGGAAAACCAAACATACTTGTCATCTCTCGTCCTTTTACTCCTGTTTGACGCTCGTGTGGGTGGATTTTGAATGTGTGAAACCAGATTCTTCCAAGCATCCCTGCAGTATAGTATAGCGACAGTGCAGCGCAGGCTGCTGAAAACAATGAGCCAAATCAATCTCCATAAAGACCGGTGGGCTGTGAAAGCGAGGTGATGCACCTCTATCATGACGCAGATCAAGGAACTCCCCTTGCAAATTAATCTCCTCATTTTTTTTGCAAAGGCGGTTTATGCAGTGACGCATCCTTTCTACGTCATAATGGTTTATAGTGACTGCAGGCACTATCTCACTATGGCACACACATACACATGCACACCAGCACTACTATATTTGTGAGGGTATTATCTGTCATTTAATCCCCAGATGCAAACGTTACTACGCACATGTTGACACATCCGTCCTTCCTGCCACTCAGTAAAGAGCTGCTGGGCCAGCTGCAGTCTCTGACAACATTTAATCTGTTCCTCATGTCGCTCTGGATATCATCCACATGCTCCATTTCCCTGTGAAAATCCAAAGGCATGCGAGTCAGATGATGTGGCATATAAGAATGTAAGTGTGAATGTCTTTGTTAGCCTATTTTAGCTTTTCAGTGTCCTCTCTGCTCTAAAGTTTCTCTGCAGTGTTTACGCTAAAATTGATGGATTGATATCTTTGAAAAGCATTTCCAGCCTTGCTCAGTGAGTCTTTCACATATGATTGTTGTCCCTACCTCCTGAACAAGATTCAAAGGAGTGTATTACTGCATATATTTTGTGTTCACCTAAATGTCAGGGTTTGAGTAAAACCAAAAAACCTTGTTGTCTTGTCATCGCTGTAACAATAATAAACATCTAATTAACGTCATAGTTCTCCATGCAGCTTTGAAGGATGTGAAACTGAGGCAAAAGCCTTTAATCAGTTAACGTTGCAGCTAAAAGTATCATTTGGAAATGAAAAGCCAGGAGCATCTTCCTTGGAGGGTTCAACCTGGGGTTGCGGTCATGGCCTGTTAAGGGCTCTGTTGGCTCTTAGGTGACGGTTTCCTCGTGGCTGCGTGCAGCGGGGCTAGGGGAGGGTCTGTGCTGACAGATGTGGGTTACTGACCTGGTAGCATGGCTGCCCCTGGGTGCGTCCGGGACGGGCATGAGGTTCTGGGGGCGCTCCATCTCTGGGCTGGGGCCCTGGCTTGGCCTTGGGGGATTGGGTCCCGGTTGGTGTGTTGCCAGGGTTGTGGGCAGGTGGGTGTATGGGGGCCCAGCCCTGGTGCAGGGTTCCGCCGGCTCATTGAGCCACCTGTGGGGCTCTGCAACTGGTGGGGGAGGCTGTTACATCTTGCAGGAGGTCTCCTCTCTTCAGGAACTCTCTCTGCAGGAGGAGGAGATGCAGGAGAGGTGGAGGAAGATCTCAGCCTGGGCGTCTATTGTCTTGTGTAGTCTGGAAGATGAGTGGATGACGGGGTGGGTGCAGTTTTCTCTGTGGTGGGGTCGGGTCGGCTGTCCTGGGCTCTGTGGGGCCAGGCGGCGCTGCCGAACTAGGCCCCGGTCCGGAGGGGCCTGGGCCCCCTCTCCCTGGCGGGTTGCAGAGTATGGGGGTGCCTACTGGGGTCAGCGGGGGAGCTGGCCGCTGCGGCTGCTGAGTGACCCCTCATCTGGGACTCTCCTCAGCTCTTTCTGGGACAGTGGCGCGGCTGCCCCTCTGTTGGTCTTCCTTGGTCTCTTGTGTTCTGGGGGCCTCTGGATGTCTGGAGTCTTGATCTCCTCCATACCTGCTTCATGCCCTGGTGGACGGGGCTGTGGCTCCCCACACCATCTAGCAGATCATTACATGAAGGAACCTTTTAAATACAAGCGCGTTCATGCTCACAGGTGTACACACGGGGACTCACACACACAAACTACACCCTTTTTGGCTCCTACCTCAAAGCACACTGTGCGCTGTCAATCTTACGTGCTGCACAATAATGTTTAATATTTAGTATTTACTGTCATATTCACATAGATAATCGTGATGTTGTTTATTATGTTGCTCTTGTTTTTTTCTTCTGCTTGTTCTCTTTTTTTTCTTTCTCAATAGGTGATCCAGATATTTCTATTTTTTGTCTGCTTATTTTGTTGGTTTTTGTTTTTTGCCCTTTATCCCCGTCCCTCTTCCCTTCTGTTTTTCTTTCCCTTTCTTTTCCCCAGTCAGCCAGTCTGTCTCGTATTTAACAAGTGAAAATAAAATAAAATAAACAATAAAACGTGAATCAAATAGACCATTATGGCAAGGCTGGGATGTTCCATTTGGTAAAGTAAATCCGTTGGGCATCTTTCTTCACCTTTAGACAATAATTCTGATGGCAAAAGAGCCAAACGGGACAGGCGAAAAAAAAAACAAAACTGTCACATAATCACTGTGACAGTGATTATGATAACTAAAGGTCACTGTCACAAGGAAACACAATTATGTTTCTCAATAATTTTCTTGCACAATCAACTGTAATGTGAGAGCAGTTTCAGCTTGAAACCGAGCTGCTCTTGGGCTTACCTAAGCCTAGTCAGAGTTCAGAAAAATCAAATCTAAAAAGCAAACTGGAACCCGAAAAATGACTTAACAGTCACAAGTGGACTGTGGATTGTCACACTATTCACATACACCCACGCACTGTGCCCCTTAAGAAATGTCACAGTGAATATAATCATATGTCTCAGATTCTAAATTAAACTAATTAGAATTCACACCTATAGACAGACTAGTCAACTCAATAACCACATATTCCAACTGCAATACTAATTAGTAGCATTATGTTTCACTTCATGCGTTGCCACAAATGTAGCTACAATGCTTTGGTCAGTTTGGCAGCCGCTGATTAATGAATGCTATTACATTACATTTAATATCATTTGCAATGCACGTGACAGACAGGATACAGCCAGAATTAAGATTACTGATAAAGTGTCCCGATGTCCTGGAAACCTGGTGTATTGCAAAACGTTTTAAACAGTGCCAAATCAGAAAATTAAAGCATGCCTGTGTATTTACCACGTGTTCTGTTTGGGGCACATTTGGGGCAATGAATGAACAGCGGGTATTACATATAAAGTAAGTTCTGTATTTTCACTTGTGTGCTACATCACTCAGAACAACAAATTCATTCACTGCTGTGAAAGCCCTGTATAGTTAATCATAATACAGACATACCTTCCATTCAAATAACAGACTGCCTGTTTGCATTTGGAAAAGTAGGCTGACTTCGTGGTGTGGACAGGGAAACTTTTTTCTTTTTTCCAGGACTAGAAGAAATTGTTAAGGTAATTCAAAATTAAAGGAAAAAGCTGGATGTCACAATAACCCTAAGTAGGCTACTGGACTGTTTGCACATATACAATCAGCAGACTCAGTTTCACTTGTGCTTTAGTGACAGTCTTTTTCTTTTTTTACTCAAGAAGAAGGGAGTAAAATTTGCTTATCACCGCATAAGGCCAATGACAAACCTACTGTCAAAAAAAACAAAAAAACAAAACCCCGAGACAAATTGAAAAGATATTTCTCGTGATGGTGCTCTTGTAAAGCCGTTAATTTCTCCCAGGTGCAACATTTCTTATTCTCTGTCTTTAATTATTCATAATAATTATTCATAATTAAATAATTAATTATTTAATTATTAGCGAGACCCTCTGAGCGCAGGGATCAGACAAGCCCTTATTCTGTGTGATGCTTAGCCCTCGGGTATAACAAGTGCTTACTGTAAAGTTAACATATATCTCAAACTCAGGTTTGAGATTCAGGTTCACAGCAGAAGAATTAATAACAGTGGTGCTTCGGAACCGTGACTAGAGAAAGCAAGTTACTGCTTCACTCAGATATTTTGGATATGCAAAAAATTACTTGGCTCACACACTTTATGGGCTTTTAATGGAATGAAAACCTGGAAGGAGAGGGCAAACCAAGTCATTAACGTTTTGCACATTTTCATGGCCCACGAGTGCAAGTGGCTTTCAGTATTCCAGTTATTGGTGTGAAAGACTTACCAGATACAGTAGTTACCCTATCTATAAACATATGGCAGGCTAAAGAGACGCATGAACTAGACTCATCCATAGATAGATGGATTTAGTCAGTTTTAACTTTAAACAAATGATTCCATTTATCTTGTCATACTTATTACAATGCATGTTTTATATTCAATATAATAATGGAGGAGGGTTAAATTATTTCAAAACTGCACTCGAGTTTAGACCTTGAGCAACAGCGTAGTAGATTCTTGTGGGATTCCCGCAGATGTCTTGAACGCATCACGATGGGCCGGGCACTGGAGGCTCTCCCTCCTCCCTCGGCTCTTTAGCTGTTTCAGCCGCCTTCAATCTCGTTCTGGGCAGCGGCTCGTTTTGCGAGAGGGAGGGGAAACTGCCCGTCTGTCACTGGGAAATCCTGATCGCTACCCTCGGTCTCAGTTAGCGGGGAGTGAGCTGTGATAGAGGCGCGCAGGTCTTCAGAAAGGATTAAATTCAACTGAATGAAGCGCACACGAAGTTCTTCGGCAGCGACGTAAGAACCCTTTCTCGTTATTACTAAAGCCGTGTCCGATCGTGTTTCTGCCTGTGACCTTTCACGCTCCTGTGCGGTCCTCTATTTTTCCACACAGAAGTGAGGAATAACTGCTGCGTTAACTCGCCCACTTCTGACAAACTGACAGCTTTAACGTTTTTTAGTGGCATGTGTTTCCCCCTCCGTCATTTCTGTACCTGCCGCCTGATAATAAATGCCTTTTATTACTTTTCTCTTAGATTGTGATTTCTGGGCATCATCTCTAACTTTTCTCTGAGTTTCTCTTAATTTCTCACTTTTTTTTCACTTGAACTTTTTATGATATGCTTGTTCCAGAGCACATTTTTCTGTAAAGTGTCTAAGAATGGAATAGCCAAACTTTTTAAACTTGTTGTGATGCAGCTTGGCAGAAACTATGTTCCTGCTTTTGTGGCTGCTGATGGGAAGGAGGGGAGGAAACAAGTCCCTGCGCGCCTCTGTGCAAAGCAGCTTCAGTCAGGGTGTGAGTCAGACATGGATGAATAGTTGGCGAGGTGGAGTCCCTGGAGGACACGGATAGGAGTCCTGCAAGTGGAAAATAGTTTCAGATGCTCGTCTTGATCTAAATTGTTTCCAAAGAAGGGGGGGGGGGGGGGGCAACAGTGCTCAGAGTAGGAAGAAGGGCATGAATAACAGCCCTGAGTTGCTCAGTTCCACCTGCAGATGATGATGATGATAAGTGAGCATCACTTTATTGACAGCTGAGCTTTTTCTCTGCTGCACATGTTTGGTTGCACGCTGGGCGAAGGTAGGATTATTTGAACACATTCACGTCTTTTTCCGACGCCGTGGGTGTGTATTTATGCACGATTTATTTATCCTGTTTTAAGATGGTGCAACAGCTGATCACATGGAATTCATTACTTTATTGTTTTTGGAACAATCTTTTTGTGATTTTGAGATTTTGATTGGTTCTTGGTGGGCCTGCGTACTTTAACGAATCAGTACACTGTGATATGGTAGAGGAGTTTGTTTACACCGTGACTGCGATCCTATTAACATCTGTGATTAATCTGAAGTCTTTGTAGGAGGTGTTGCAAATCAGCGAGAATCGTGTCAGTGTTGAATTCTTCTGTGCGACGGAGTGTGATGCAGGTATTAAATGCATGGCAGATTCCTATTTCACTATTTTGTCCATAGAAGTTTCTCAACATATGTTAACATCCTGGCTCCAAATTCCACATGCTGTAACACGGATGCAAGCAGGGAATCCTTGTTTTCCATCTCACATGCAAATGACTGTGGGTGAGAAATCTGTCTCTACAACATTTAAGCCTTCAAGTGTTTCATGACCCTGCCATGAGCACTGTTTTTATAATAACTGAGATACACTATATGCAATCTTACTCCCACCATAGCTTTTGTGAACTGAGTTACCTTTTTCCCCGTAAGTTAAGAAAATAAAAAATTGCTAAAAAAAAAAAGGAAATGCACAGCATAAGTTGTTGGATTGGATTAACATTAAAAATTTTGGAGTTTTTTGGGGGAAATTTTAGTTAAATACAGTAATATCGTCATAAAGGATTCCTGTTAGGTTAACGTGAAACTGAAACCTTTGTGATGATTCTTTCAGTAATTATACTGAAGTGATAACAATGCTTTGCATAACAGACTTTCCCCAAAGCTGTTCCAAGAATCACATGAAGGTGATGGCAGGTGTATACGTGCTTTTAAATAGATGAGATGCTTCCTCTACTGATGTTTCTGCTTTACATGAATTCATTGAATCCTTTATGGTCTGTTTCCACCAGATAACAAACCTGTCGGCCAGTTTGCTCTTATTTTCAGTGGATCCTTACAAATTTGGCCACAGATTGGCTTGCTAATGATTGGTGTATTAGAATAGAATAGAATTCAACTTTATTGTCATTGCACATGTCACAAGTACAAGGCAACGAAATGCAGTTTGCATCCATCCAGAAGTGCTGGATGTATTGTACAGAAGTGCTGTAAGTATTACACTCAGACCAAACGCACAGTGCCTGCTGTGCATCTGTGGTGTTGTTTTTCACCAGGACGCTGTGTGTCTGGGGTTGGTGTATCACTGAATTAAAAGATTGTATTCATTTACTGCCTCGCTGCTCTTGTTTGGCACAGAAACAAGCAGAAGTGGAAAGCTTCACGATGATGGTCGATGGAAAAAAAAAAACAGAAAACATCTGAATTTGATTATATTTCTGTTAGAGAGAAAAGAAAAGAAAGCAAATTGCCTATTTTTATCTAACATCTATATTCACGACGTCTAGTGAACAGTTACATGGGCAAAATACAGAAAAGATCTCCCTGCAATATTCATTCCTCCTGCCTGGTGTGTTTCATGAATGAAAAGCAGTTGAGTGTGAGGCGGGAGAGAGGGAGGTGCTCATATCAGCGAGAGACCTTTTTTTTTTTTTAAAATAGAAAAATTGCATTTAGAATCTCCTTGGCTCTGCCTTTTGCAAAGACTTTTAATTGTCACTATTTATTCAGGTCACGACAAAGTCCTGGCTTACAGTCCCTTTGGAGATCCAAGCACCTTAAACAGCTGTGTCTCTTTTTTCTGTCCTCAGTGAGATTCACCACAGCCAAAGCCTATGTGGTCCATGCTCTCGCGATGACCGCTACAATGTAAGTATTACTGTCTGTTCTCTAATGTTCTGTTCGTGGGGTGTTGAAAAGAGCTCGCTGCAGATGCAGAAGTAGCAACACTAGTTTTTGATTTTTTATCCACAAACTTGTAGTCTGACGATCTCAAACATAAGACCCGGGGGCCAGAATTTGGCCACTGGACAGCTTTGAAAAAATGTGAAGAAGAGAAAGAATTTTGGACAGTTTTATAATTTTTATTGCTTTTCCTACTAATAAAAAATGACTCCCATGAACATTCATACTACACCAAAGTAATTAAGTAATAGAAAACAATTAAATGACATAAAACTTCTACTGTGGAAGATTTCAGCTTTATTCAGTGGGTCCAAAGTGGAGAAAAAAGCTACCAGAACATTTCTGTAATTTTACACATTTATTTCTTACAATTTAAGTCCAAAGAACAATACTTATAGATTAACTACAGTATGTAGAAAAACAGAGAAATTCTCTTATATTTGCATTAAAAAAAACTTCTAAGATCTTTGGAGGATTAAATGTGCTGTTAAACTTCTTTTCTCTGACAGAAATTTGAGTTTCACTGGTCCTGCGTTTCACTGGTCCAAATGAGTCAGAGATCTCTTTTTGCACAGTAAAAATTTCGTACCTCACAGACAGACATGAACATTGGCTTATTTTTTTAAATTATGTGTTTATTTGCCTTCTGAAAGCTTTGTGAGATGAACACTTTAGAAACTGTATGAGTTTTTCAGAGACTACATGAGAAAGTGTCTTGTTGGAGCAGCTCATGGTTACATATGTTGCAACTTGGAGCAAGTTAAAGTAAATGTGAGCTACCTTCAACCTGTCCTCAGGCACCAACGTCTTGGCACTTAAATGGTATTAAGCAGTTGTGAACTGTCATTGTCTTGTGTTGTAACAGCACAGGTTTTTATGTCAGATGATTACGTCTGCAGAGAAGTTCCAGTTCTTCCAGTGCCCTTCCTGCAGAAAACTGGAATGCATTCCTTCAACTCCCACTGCTTTCCCATATCTGTTCTTGAAAAACCTTTTTAGATTGAGTGATAGTAATCAATCAGTGACTCATAAAACACTGAGTTTTGCACAACCTTACTTTGTTTTCATGCTAAATGAAAATCTATCCTTCAGCATTTTCTTTTTTCTTTCCATCGCTCCATCTTCCTATTTCTTATTCCTGCTTTGTTTCCCTACAGGGTTCAGTCTGTAATGCTGACAGGCCTTGTGTCTGTGTTCCTGGTTTCCTACGGTGAGTTCCACCTCCAGCACATCATCTTTGACCTTCCAGCTTGTAAGCTTAACCTCTTCTAGCCTTTAAATAGTTTTTCTCCTTTAAATAAACAGTGCTTCTCACGTGTGGTGAGTGTAGAACAAAAAAAGTTTACTTTTTTTAGTTTACTGAAAGATTAATTTAAGAAAGTGTTTATTTTAGAGAAATTATATGCTCCAAACACTTCAAAGACACACACGTCACCACGTGTCTTTTATCAATCTCGCACACTAAATTTGTACACCATCCGTGGATGTGTTTCTACTTAAGATGCACATCCACATCAGTAAGAGGCTGTAAAAATTGATTTTTTGAGATTTTGGCAGAAAGATTTTGGTCTTTTAAAGACGCTACACATATAACGGCGTATTTACACCATTGAGCCCTGCTCTCAAAAACTGACATAGATGTAACACTGTCTGTGAAGCTGGATTTAGAAAAATAAGTGCTTAAAGTTAAAGTTTTAGCTTGTTTAACGCCATCTTCTCTCATTACGAACGTGAGGCAATGTGGTTGGTTGGTTGGTTGCAGCTAATAGACTTACATTAGCTTATGTTAGGTAACTAGTGACAGAATCGATAAAACAGATGAAAATAAGGACACTAAAATAAAAAATCAGTCTGAGGGGATAACATTTGGGCTGCAACAATGAGTTTTATGTTAAGAAACGGAGGATATACTGTCCACTTCACTGTCTGTCTCTTTAGCAATAAGTGGCTATCTGTTGCAGTGTTGCCAACTTAGCGACTTTGTTGCTATATTTAGCGAGTTTTCAGACCCCCTTAGCGACTTTTCTTTTAAAAACTGACTAGCGACAAATCTGGCGACTTTTTCTGGTGTTATTGGAGACTTATTTATGACGATTTTTTGACGTGAAAGTGCGGGTTGCTCTTAAGACATGCGTCCAAACAGCAAATGAAACGCGCACGAGCAAAGCCGCCGCTCCCGCACTAACTGTAACGCAGTCAATTCTTCTTTTACTGTTATGCTGTTTTGTGGATCACAAGGTTTAAAACTACTTATAAACACACACACACACAAAGTAACTCCACCAGAGTGCCTATTTCGGGTCACTTTTGCACAGGTCCAAGCCTGGATAAAGGAGCACGGTTGGAATTGTGACATTAAAAAACAATAATTGCTAAAAGAAATTTAATTTGTAGTTCTAAATAAATTCTAAATGCATTTAAGACATGCTTTACTCACTTCATGTCTCGTTCCACGTTGTTATTTCTCTCTTCAACAACATAGGTTACAATTATATTAGCATGACCAATTATGCAAATTAGGCGATGACATCATTTAGCGACTTCTAGCGACTTTTAGGACAACCAATAGCGATTTTCCTTACTTAGGAGTTGGCAACACTGATCTGTTGTTTGGCTAGCTACACTCAGACGGGAAAGTCCACCTGTTAGCTAATGTTTGTCAGTTTTTGAGAGCAGGGCTCAATGGTGTAAATTAGCCTTTATATATGTAGCGTTTCATGTCCTCTTTAAATCTAGATGTAATTAATTTTCTGTAGAGACATAATGTCTGGGACGCTCACATGAATGGCAGAGTTGGTTATGTAGCCTCTTACACAGAGGTCCAATTTTATCTTTATGTAATCTGATCAAATTAATACGTGTGAAGAATGGCCAAGCAAGAAGTGTGGAAGAATTATTTATGTATACAGTGCTTTTCATAAACACGAGTACAAGCAGCACACAAATCAAAAGAATAAAATCTGTCGGTCATATTTATCAGTAAACATTATTGTCTTTAGCAGACTTACTTGAGTCTTATCTGAGGCGCTATTATTTTTATCTTTTCAATTATTGCTCGTAATTTCTGCTTATGTCAGTTTTGAGTAATCCCTATTTATTGCATTACGCTTACTCTTTCTTTCTAAGAAAGGCTTCTTGCTTCTCTCTCCTTTCGCCTTTGTCACTGAGACACAAACACAGACTGTCATCACATTCGGCAGATGTTCAGCATCCAACTTCCATGAAAGAGCCGTTGCTATTGCACAACATTTTAGGGAACAGAAACAGTCAAAAGAAGCAAATGTTCCAGATAGCTTTGACCTTAAGTAGGCTGTCACTTTAATGAGATATAAAATAAAACATATTTTCCCTTTAAATTAAAAAAAAAGTAAAAATTGTAATACACAGTAAAGCGCTTGTTAAAAATCTGCTCGTGTGTCATCCCCACTTAATTTTATTGCCTCCCTGTGAGCAGGTGCTCAGAGTTTGAAGCCCGAGGATGGAGCCTCTCTGCGTTCAGGTGCCGTGGACCTCCCGTGGCAAGATGAGCTGTGCTGTGAGTTACCTTCAGCCCACCTTGGTGTGGAGGGAGGCAGCACAAATTCACCAGAAGCAAACCTCTCCCAATCAAATCTCCCACACAGTCCCGGCTGCACTTTTAAGAGCTCGAGAATTGATTCACATCATCCCCGATCCTCTGGCGGTAAGAGTTTAGCGCCAACATGTTTCATAACACATACATTAGGCCTTAATACAAAGTGTCTGTCATTGTTGTGTGTAGATACTCATCTGTGTGATCACTGAATCACGTCCAGGTCCAAACGGGTCTGCTCAAAACGTGAATGAGATCATTTCATTTTTGTACGTTGACATACTGAAATCTAAATTATGGTCGTCAGGTTTTTGCAAAACCTCTAAAAAGTGTATTTTTTTATTTTGTGTTGATGCAGAAGTTAACATCTGATGAAAAACTATTGTGTACTTATGTTGCTCCCACTTTCCTGTCAGTGTGGCTGATGAGTCAGTGTTCATAAGGTTTATCTCACTAGGATTTCGTGTGTTTTTATTCTTTTTTTTGCAAGGAGAAAAAATACTCAGCACATAGGAGTCATAATTATAAAATCCTCTCTCTGTGTTGTATGGATCTGAAAGTACACGGGGAATGGTGCAGAGAATTTGTTTATTTGCACTGATCTATTAGGTGCTGTGTTGTGTAAGTGCTTCCAGCTTTATGTGAATTTTAAATCTCCAGATTCTTTATCATGCCTAACAATCAGGAGTGATTCACCTTCTGTAAAACACTGGAGCTAGACGAGATCAGGTAGGTGGTTTGATCCCTGGCACCTGTCAAAGTGTCCTTGGGCAGGATATACACTCCCAAAACGAACCCTTATTTACACTGGTAAAAAAACAGAAAAACAACTGTGTATGATAAGAAGAGTGTGCTGTTTTAACGGATTAATGTAGCATAAAGTGCAAAGTAGGTGTCGAAAATTAAGAATTGGGTGCATTTTATTTACAGACACAAACAGCACGCACTTATGCCTCTTTCATTCATGTTTTTCCACTGCTTTCAGCAGCCAGACGTTTCCCACGGTGATGGGAAACTGATAAAACCGATCATTTGCCTATATATGTAAAGCCTGTACGTGCAGTAAATAGATTTGATGTTCTGTTCTATTTCTGATTGTGACATGAAAGCTAACTGTATTTCAGAACTTTTACTTGAGCAAAGAGCCCAAGGTTGTTCATGCAGCTAAGGATTTCAGTGCTAGAGAGGGTTTGTTCCTTTTTACCAGGCTGGAGGAGGCCTCTCCCCAGACTGCCACTCAGTCTCAGGCTTCTTCTAAGAATATTAAACCAGACTGTTTTCTTAGAAGCCTTCATTTGGAGGTCTGCCAACAGTCTCCTAACATGCAAATGTAATTTCGTTTCAGGCACCTGTTTGGACATCCTCTGCAGAATTGATGGAAACTGGCAAAATTTAATCTGCGATCTTCGGTCTCGTGGTCAGCCGTCCGACAGTCTTATGGCAGTCAGCTTACGGCGGCAGTTGTGAGTGTGAAGCGGCTCTCGTTAATGGCTGCGTTTTGCCTGTTGAGTGTGTGTGAATGAGTGATTGTATGTGCCTTTGTGTGTTTTAGTCTGATTGGCGATGTCTCAACTGCTCACTGGGGGGTTAAGTGTTTATCTCACTGGCTCCAGGCTTGTACTGTGGTAGGCTAATGCGATTAGGTTAGCACTGACCTAACAGGCACTTGAGAATTTTACTCAATGGTTTCCCCCTCAAGTCTGATTTATTAGCTGTTTTGACATTTTTTTGAGCACTTAAAGTACTTTTTCCTCCAAGTCAACAAAGATATAAGAAAATGTAACAAAAGATATAACACAACAGTGAATTGAATAGTGAAATGTCACTCAAATGCACCACGCTGAAACATGATAATCTAACATACCAAGAAATGCCAGAACTTTCTGACTGAACTGTTTTACCATCTGTTTACAGATTTCAGCAAGATGGTGACTATCCCGCATCTGAAAATCCCGTTGTTTGTGAGGCGCAGGATTCCTTCATGTGCTCACTCACTCTTGACCCAACAACAAGCTTTGTCGCCATGGTAACTGTCAGCATCTCTGATGCCGTGGCTCCACCAGTTCTGCTCAGAGTTCCTGCCCGACCTGGTGAGAAAGCCATGATTCATAGCGGGGAGTCACACTAATTAAAGTAATAATTTCAGCTAATAAGTTTACCTTGTAAGACAGTGACATCCAGGTATTTGGTCATTTTTCTGGTGTTTTATATGTGTGACCACACTGTTTTAAGTGTATTACGGTTACCAATCAAAGAAGCAAGTTCCCAAACAGTCTTCTTTTTTTCCACACATGAAAGGTCCTAAGAATACATTTAGTCTATGTATGACGGTAATGCCGAACCTCTCATTGGTTAATTCTCCATTCTGACGTCCAACCTTAACATGATGGACAGATAAGGAGAAAGACCTTTCTATAGCTGCACCGTGACCGGAATACAGCTAAAAGCGTGTGTGTGCAGCCGAGCTGTGAGATCTCCGCAGTAACAGACAAGCACTTTGCATGCTGAGTTTGTTCAACCAGACCGCTTAGATGAAACGGCACGGAGCAGAAAAGAAACTGAGTAGTAACAGTCAGGCTTTTGCTGTCTTTTCACTGCACCGCTGCAGTTTTATCCTTTTGGTTCATTTAATTGAACTTCAGTGATCTTGAAACCAAACTTGTATTATTCATGTCTTGTAAAAATAGAGCCCCCTTAATGAGGTGTCGATTTTACATTTTCTCAGCCAAAACTCTAGGTTTGAGGCTCTCCATTTGGCGTATATGTATTTACAATGTGTTATATATTGTTTGCATCATGTAAATGGCTAAAGTGGCTGTTGCCTTTTTGTGTTTTCTCTGTATTCTTGGAAAAAGAAAACACTTTGTGGATTCAGTTTATTCAGACTCAACTGAGTTATAAGAAGCACCAGGAACTGGCACTCGAGGCTATTTCCTGTTACCTGCACTGTGTGAACTGTCTTTAAGCAATGGTGCTGCAGTTGTTGTCATATTAGGGAGGGCGTAACTGTTTCCTGATCTCGATTTATGTACATGTGCAAATTAGGCTTTGTGATGAGGAGTAGAAGCACTTCATGTTCCTAATGGCGGAGTAGTGTGGGAGCAGAACGATTTGGCTGTTACTCATAATGTTTATTGATCTCTTCTCGCCCCGTGGGCATTTTTGTGGTTTTATGAGACTTAATTATCTCAGGTTGTTTGTGTCATAGTTGAACATGTGAAACGGGGCTTTGTTATCAGGCCTGCTCCACCTGTCTGATGTTTGTCTGGGTCCACGCCGCTGAGAAACCCGCCTGAAACAAGCAGCTTTTTGTACAGTAGTGTACGTTATGTGATTTATAGATTATTAGTAGCATGCTTTGATGACATTTTACTGTTAGACTAAAGTGTAAAGTGAACTTGCCTTTTATGCCTGGTTGAGAAAGTAAATTGCATTCAGCTTCATTTATTTAATTTTAATACTTCAGTATTGGAGCTATCATTAGATTTGCATGGCTCTAGTGGCATACTGTCAGAGTGACAGTAAATAACAAACAGTACCAGAAGGAGGCTTTTGGCCTTGTTTTCTTTTTATGGGCCATGAGCTAAATCGGGTTGTCTGGTTGTAACCTGTGATGATGCACTCTGACAGCACTGCAGAGTAGTTTTATGAATTTGTCAGATGTGCTGTATATTGACGGTGTTGTGAAGCTTACGTTGCTGTAATCTTTTTCTCCAGAGAAACCTAGTCCTCCAGGCAACCTGTCACACACTCAGACCATCGAGGCAGAGCTGATCGTGCTCTGGGATGACCCGGCCGACGTTGACGCTGGTCCACTGAGATATGAAGTCCGATACTCCTCTGGCACCACTCACCCGGCCTGGCAGGTAAATACTAACTATTTATACTTAGAAGATTATATAAGAGGTGGAGAGTTCTACTAAGAATTTGCCGTCAATTAACAGGATTTCCTGTTTTTTTTCTTCATACCTTTGCATGTAAAATGTCAGCTAATATTTGAAGCCTGGTTGTTCACCACAAGTCCCCCAGATTAATCTACTGAGTGTTTTTGCTTGGATCATATCGGCTTTAAAAAAAATTCTTGATTCATAGTGATTGTTATAAATCACATATAAATGGTAAAAATAAAATGGCCTGTATTTGTATAGCACTTTTCTAGTCCCTAAGGACCCCAAAGCGCTTTACACAACCAGTCATCCACCCATTCACACACACATTCACACACTGGTGATGGCAAGCTACATTGTAACCACAGCTGCCCTGGGGCGGACTGACAGAGGTGAGGCTGCCGGACACTGGCGCCACCGGGTCCTCTGACCACCACCAGTAGGCAACGGGTGAAGTGCCTTGCCCAAGGACACAACGACCGAGACTGTCCAATTACTTTCCCTCTCTGCTTTGGGCTCTCTGCCAAGCTAAGATTTCACAATCTGCTTGAGTAACATCAGTGTACTCTTAGGCATGTTTTTTTTCCTGCTTCATTTCACAATTAAAATAGATTCTTCATCAAATGCATCATGCTTCATAACGATAATAATCAGCTGCTGCATGTAGAAACAGTCCAGTTCCAGTTGCAGTTCCAGTTAAGAGGACTCTAAACAAAAGCAGCAGCCATGCTGTGACGATGGATTTGACTTAGTCATCACTCCAAGTGGACAACACCCAGCAGTCTGTGGGCACATGTGTGCATGTTCTTCAGTATTCCTTATCTGTCTCCAGGTGGTGTCTGCGCCTGGAGAGCCCAGAGTGTCTTTGGATCTGAAGCCCAAACTAAACTACACCGTTCAGGTCCGCTGCTCCGGCCCGGAAGAGCCTCCACTGTGGAGTGAATGGAGTGAACCTCACCACATCCGCCTGGATAGTAAGAGCTGCTTCCTCACAGCAGAACCTTAGGAGATGATTCATGGGACCAGCTTCTTATCTCTCTAGAATTGTTTGAAAATCACATATAGTCACTGTATTCATCAGTTGATCCGGTACTCCATTTCATATAAGAACATATAAGAAGGAAGTGTAAGAAGTTAGTAAGTGTAAGATTCATCAGGGAGTAAAGGATAATATAAGTATAAAATTATCTTTTTTTTGCAGTGAGCCTAACATTTTAAACCTGTCCTGGTGGCTGTGGGTCAACTCACATTTCTCTGAGAGGCTCATTCAGATAGGGTCAAGCACTGAGCGCAGTTATGTCCAATCCAAGCTCATTAGACTGAGTCACTGAAAAACTCATATGAGTATTTCATCAGAGGTCATTCTCCAGGTTAATGATCAGCATTAAGAGCTCATAAAAGGGATTATTTACTGTATAGTCTTTTTATTTGATCACCTGTAACAAAAACAAGAAAAACTAAAAATTAAGTTTTCATTTATTAGGCAAAATAACAAACTGAACATATCAGATATCCTAATCAAATAAAGTTAATAGTGCACTTTACAGTTTTTGGACAGCAACAATAATTATATTTCAACATAAAAAATATTGATTTAGGTAAATACAAGTGTTAACATGGGATTGCTTTGGTAAAAACACTGAGTGTTGGTCTAATAAATCTGTCAAGCACTGTCTGTATTAGTGCATGCAAAACATTTTTTTAAGTTATTCAACTCAAATCACAACAACAGTTGCATCAAGGTGCTGTATGTTGTAGGTAAAGACTCTACAGTAATATGAATTATGAAACTGAAAGTTGAAAAACAAGAGCAAGAACTGAGACATAACAATTGTTTGCATGAACTAAAATCAGAAGCCTTCATGTCAGCTGATCAGTGACTCATACTAAACTTGGGCTAATTGATTCCAAAAGCTTTACACAGCACAAGTGACGGCGTCTTGTTGTATTGTCACAGCAGACATATTTGTGATGTTTTTCCTAGATAATAGATACTGTTACCCAAAGACTGCCCATGTACTGAGTGTCAGTGGTACAGTAGTGCGTGTCATGGGGTTAAAAGTTTGTGAGACTCAGCAGCTCTGAGTAATCCCGCTAAAACGAGCCACACAGTCGTCCTTGTAAAACAGCAGTAATTTCGATGATGTGAGGTGTCTTGGCTTGAAGGGTGACTCAGAAACTTCTGGCTAAAACGATGCCAGAACAGAAGAACACGCTGCAGACGTCCTGATGAAGCATTCACAAAAGTTACATTTTGAGTGAGTCAGTGTTCCTCACAGAAGTTTCAGGTGGCTGTGTGACAGGAGTCGGATAGCTCCCCTCTCGTTCTTTTAATGGCAAACTTTGACAAAGTTTTCATAATTCCATAGAAAGTTTTTTTTTTTCTTTTGTAAAGGTCTACGTGGCAACTGTGGGTGAATGAGAATGAGTCATGTGTTTGATTTGTTTGAGGGGCTTTGTTTTTGTCATCTGAGTGACATCCATTTGGCTTTGTGTCTTTTGTAAAAGGCTTTTCAAAGTATAAAAAGTTAAAAATGAGATTTCTTCTTTGAGGCAGTAAACATAACATAAAATGACGTGTTTTTTTTTTTTCTTTCCTGCGTGCAGCGGTGAGCTACATCCCCAAGAAAGTGGTGGCTAGACCCGGGGAGAACGTAACAGTATACTGTGTATTCAACGACCACAGAATGAATGCCAGCATGGCCGTGTGGAAGCTCAACTTCCAACCGCTGCCTTCACCCACCCTGTACCACCCAGTCAACCAGTGGGTAAGAAGTACAAAAAAAACCCTCTCCCTGCAGAGGTTTTTGTGATGCTCGGAATATTTCTGTGGGCCTATTTTTAAAGACGTACAGCCTCCAGTACAGTAAATATTTTTGTTGACCTAAACCAGGTGAGCAAGATCACATTGCATCCTTCAGAGAATCAAATGTATGACCTCCTGAGGTGTACCGAAGAGTGGAGCATCCCTTACAGCCAGATCTATGTGGAAGGTGAGCTTTGTTGGACCAGTAAAAACAAGTCTAAGTGTTATCCAATGTATTTCTCTTCCCTATTTTTATAGCGAAAGTCAGTTTCTTATGTTTTAAAGTTGCTTGAAATCCATGTCCCTTCAGTGTTCATTTGACAAAGCAGAGTGGCGACATGTGAAAGCACAACAGCGTGAACCAGAATAACCTCAGTGTGCAGGGGCTAGCTCAGGTGATGTGTTTGTGACTGTCACCCAAATTAAATTTGTTTTTCTTTGTGTGTTTCAGGAGCTGACATTGATATAAAGTGTGTAACCAACGGGGACATTGATGCCATGGACTGCAGTTGGACTCACAAACAGCCGGATAAGCTCAGATTTCAATCCAAGTAAAGCACCTTTTCCAATCCAGTTGATATTTCCGGAGTGTTTATGTTTCTTAAAAGATGCTGCATTGTTCATAAAACTTTTGTGTGATGAAAAGCTGGAAGTTACTATACACACACACACACAGTGTACCAGGACACCAGGTTCACTGAACACACCCTCGACCTGTGTGTTTAGCACTAGAGAAGCAATATCAGGAAGTTTATTTCAACAGTGCACTGTAAGTGTGAGTCGTTAGTATTATACAATACAATAGACTACAATAGTAAGTCTCCTCTCTTTAAAACCAGTGTGGCCTGACACGATTATGCAAGCTCGTTCTAACTGACTGACGTACTGCAGATGTAAGTTGTATTAAAGATGACGAGAACGTCTTATTTCATATTTCAGATCAGATTGTTTTGCTCAGACTTCAACTATTCTAGTTGTCACCAGTTCTTTAGTCTTGGTAAAGTTGTGTTTAATATTTTAATCTTTTTTTTTCCTTGAAGTAACAAATCTATGACATCACATTGGTGCATTACTGGTCCTGGAGAGACAGTCGTTATGATGTGCAAGAACAGTACAAGCACAGGCAAATCAGCTCATGTGGAGACAAAAAAAGAACACGACTTCATCTGTGTCTTTTTGTTTTTAATGTCAGGTGGGCCGACCTGCCATGTGACGAGATGGAGGAGAGGGAGAGAGCGGGTGAGAATCTGGGGGAGATGAGTCCTGCCTGCATGGAGGGCAGGCAGAAAACCTGCACCATCCACCCTCTGAGGATGAACTGCTATAAACTCTGGCTGGAGTTGCCATCGCAACTGGGTCCCATCAGGTCCAGACCGGTCTACCTGTCACCTGTAGATCACGGTGAGAAAGAAGGATTCATTTTAATTAAAGAGCTCCAGGCTTATTAGATGTTCTTCAGCAGCACCGTTACTCCAGGTTTACCACAAAGAAACCGAACTTCTGTCTTTCCTGCAGTGAAGCCTCACGCACCCGCTAATGTGAAGGCAGTGAGCCACAGCAGTGGGGTCCTGGAGGTGACCTGGCAGGCTCCGCCTTTGCCAGTCGATGGTCTCCAGTGTCAGTTTCAGTACTACTCGCCATCCACCGTGAGCCCCCAGCCAAAGTGGAAGGTGAGCTTATCGCACAGTTTAGCAACCACACGCTGTGACTGAATGCTTGGTGTGGTGGGTTCACAAATCAATGATTCAAAAAAGCCTCTAAAGTTTGGAATGAATGATATTTCTACAATGATATGATACTGGATGATTGTCAGAACTCTACTACTGTTAGCTTCCTGTGAAACACCCAGAATAAAATATGCCAAATGAAATATTTCTTTAAATGATACAGGATGCTCTGATATAACCTCAGCTTGTGTGTCTCTTATGAGATCAAACTGCTGTCCTCTGACTGAAAAATTCTCCTGGAAATTGGACAAACGCTCTCATTTGTGTTCTCATCTCAAAATTTGCTCGAAATACCAAAAATATAAAGAAATCATTTTCTGTCTTTTCATAAAATAAGGAGGCTAGACAGAGTGAGCAGATGTGTACTGCGCAGAGCGAACATTTTCCATTAGGAATGCGTGTTGTTTCTTTAATGAGCCCCAAAAATGTCCGCAGCTTCAGGATCCTGTGCGGGTTCTGTGGGCAGAGGTCGCCGTACCAGATATGTGCCGCGTATACGTGGTTCAAGTGCGCTGCAAGCACACCAATGGCACCGGCTACTGGAGCGACTGGAGCGAGTCTGTCTACTCCACTCCGCAAAACAGCAGAGGTAAAACATGTTATCGAAACAGCAGCGGTGGCAGCCTTGACTTCTGATATGAATGTTCGTTTCCAGTCGCATCTGACCATGTGATTTCTACTCTAATGGACATGGCGCACACAAATGCCATCTCCTAGCAGAGAAATACAAAAGTAAAGGCTGCGAGTGGATTTAATGTTTGCTAATTGATCTCCTCAGCTCCTGAACGAGGCCCTGATTTCTGGAGAATCCGTCAAGATGATCCACACAGAAACCAGTCTAACATCACGCTGCTGTTTGAGGTACATACATTACAGTATTCAGCTTTTTTTTATTAAGAGTTAGTTGCAGTGATATTCTTCTTGTCTGCAGGTCCCTCTAAAAACACAAAAAGATGCTAAACGAGTATTTTCTCTGTGGCTAAACCTGATTTTTATTTATTTTTATTCCTCTGTGGGGTGAAGCTTACTATTTGATCAAATGCTATAAGAAAACACTTCAATAAACCACACTATTCCCTATTAGGTTATTTATTAGTATCGGGAGAAATCTCTGTGCCTGATTGACAAGGGTGATAATCACTTATTGGATGCCTGTGGTCTTTGGGTATCAGTATCCAATAATGAGGAAGAAGCCATATGAACATGACCCAGAAATGTTGCTGTCTGCATTGAGGCAAAGTGGAAACGGTTCTGCGGTCAGACAAAAGTCAAATTTAATATATATCGACGTGAAGAAATATAATACAATCTGGCCCTTGAAGTTACTTTTTCTGTTAGGGAGGATTTGTTTGCTGTTGAGGTCAATGTTAAAATAAGTTCTTTAAAAAGCCAAAAATGATTTCATATGAAGGCAATACGAGCAGAGAGTACAAACGTGCTGAGATTGGCTCTGTTAGTTCAGTGAGATAGTCAAAAACGAATGTGAACACTTATGTCTGCATTTTTATTTTGTTAAATACGAACAAAATGATAGTAGAAGTGCTGCCACGTGTCCGGATACAAAGAGAGGACCAATGTGTTTATTTGGTTATTTAATAAAAGGCTTCAGTTCAAATCTGCCTTCGCCTTTGCAGTTTTGTCGTGTTATGCAATATTTGAAATGAAAAAGCAACAACAAACAAACCACTACATTTTCAGAAATATTTGTGGGCGTTTTCTTGTTGGGTTTTTTTGTACTGCTTAAGTGGTCCTCACATGAGATGACAGTGCCAGCAGAGGCCCACAGCTCATTTAAGTTTGAGACCCCTGCTATAGACTGTCAGCCGCTCTATCAGACAGGAACTGGGACATTCCTCTCCCAAAGTCAAGCAGCTGGTCTCCCAGAAGTTCCCAGATATGCATAGTGTTGGTAAAATAACTACACGTGTTAACCATCGTATGATGCAAAGCTATTCAAGGCCACTATTTAGAATATTCTTATGAATAAAGTTCAGTAGGAACTACTAAGCTTTGGCCATATTGACCCTTGTTTTCAATGCTTAAATGTTCTCAATTTGTTTTGTAGAATTTCGCACCTTCTGGGAATTCCTATTGTGTGGATGGATTTATAGTCCAGCGTCGGTCCTCAAGCGGATCTGTGCTGAGGGAGAAGATCGAGCTGACGTCCTCCTACAGCTTCGAGTGGAACCAGGAGCTCCAGACTGTGACTGTGGAAGCCTACAATAGTTTGGGGAACTCCACAGACAACATAAACATGACACTGGAGAGACAGCCCAAAGGTGAGTGAGTGAGAATATAACAGGACGTGTGACCAGTCACACACTCAGTGAATTTATTCTATTAGGCGATGTTCTTGTCACTCTAGCCTGAGGCTGTTCTTAATCAATCAATCAATAATATCCCTCATCATCCTCATTATATTAGTATTCCAAAAGAAGCTCAGTGTGATCATGCTGGAGGCTGTCAAGTTTTAGATAAAGAATAAAATAAATCACATAAGCCATATATTGATATAATATCTTTAAATCAATCCAGGATTTCATCAGGAGACAGGCAGTTTTAACAATCTCAGGCTTCACGTTCCTCTGAAAATATAAACCTTAGCTGAGATCAAAAGTGTTCTTGAACACTGAAAAATGTACAGGCTCACAAAAGCAAGGGCAAGATTCTTAGCAAACAGTCCATGAACCTTTCATCAGTTCTTACAGATTTATGGACACTCAAACGTGCACAGACACAGGTGCAGATTTACAGGAAAGAAAAGAACAAGGTGGTCAGTGGTGTCCATTCATGGCAAAATACTTACTGGAAACATAATTTTTGCCAATAATCACCAAGGCTTGTATGTTGAGATTTTGACAAGCCCAAGATGAACTCATGTTTCTGTATGTGTTTATTTGCCAGTGTGCTTCTGCCCCAGCCTCATAACACATGCTCGAAATATTTGGCCTTAAAGCAGAGGCCAAAAACATCCATTTAGTTTAAGACTACATCTAAAATAATTATCTCTGGGAGCTCATAAGAGCCATGATAGATGCCCAACATCCATTAGTTCTGGTGCAGTGAGTGCTAAGAGTAATCGGAACATAGGAAACAAGGCTGATGTCTAGTGTGTGTGTGTGTGTGTGTTTGTGTAACATTTTTCTCTTCCTTTAATCATGATTCAGAGAATAACTGTCAGAATAAATTAATTGTCCATAAAGCTGGACTGTTTTCATGATTTGATTATTAAAGAAGAGTTTTATTAGCAGCAACCTGAAGACGAGAGCACAGCAAATTTGTGGTAAATCATTGAGCACCTGACTTAGAAATCTCCTTTGGTGGAGTTCCACACAGAGCAAAAGGACTAACAAGCATCAAGTGGATATGCATTTGTATTTCCACGCCAGTTTTCTTCTGCCCACAAACTTGAATTAAACAGGTTTTACTGGGAAAATTCTTTAAATTTATAAGCGCTTTCACTTTATTCTGGTTGCAGTGAGTTACAGCAGCATAATCAAGCTGGCATAACAAATCTCACACTGAATAAGAACTGTCGAAAACTCTCTAGCAATTAAAAAGTCAAGTCGTGTAGGTTAGGACGACTTAAATTTGCACACAGCAAAAAAGGAAGATCAGTGGTTCCCACATTTCAGCTCCGAGATTATTCCACAAAACACTTTTCCAAAAGGTGGAAAGGCGCTTAATTGAATTGGTCTTTGCTGAAAAAACATACACCTAATTTTAGTTTGCTGTGAGTTTGGTGTAATTGGACGTGAAATGAATTTTATTTGTTGTTTTTCTTCTTTTTTTGGTGGCTGATTTTTGAAAGCATTGTAAATACGTTTCCCTGCAGGAACAATTAAATGACACATCGACCACTTTGAAATTAAGAGACTCTTTTCTGTCAGTTATGCTGTTTCACTTTCCTCTATCATTAAAAAATCTCTGTAAAATATTCAAATTCAAATATTCAGATTCAGATTCTGGGGGTAACTAAAATTGCTTTGGCTCAGTTTTTCACAGCTGTTTGCAAGAGTCTTTTTTTCTTTTAACGTTTAATGTGTAGTGAGATTAGTGCACATTCGTGCTCCTGTCAGCAGCAACTTTAAATAAATAGTCATGATTACACACGTGCACGTGCTAGCATCACTGTCCCGAATGCTCCTTAAGTTGGTAGCTGAAGCTCAGTGAGCGTTATTCAGCCTTCGATGTTGACAGATGAGAGAAAAGAAAAGAAAAGCAAAGAAAAGCCACTGTGAATGTCGAGGTCATCTGACCCTGGATGAATTCAGTTGTTTCTTTCTGCACTGCAGGCCGCTGCGTGCGTTCATTCCACGTGTTGCATATCAACAGCACATGTGTGTCACTGTCATGGAGCCTGTTGGAGAACAGCTTGGTGCCTCTGTTCATGGTGGTCGAGTGGTTGCCACACAAGCAGCAGGACTCTGGGCCAAGAGCAGAGACGTGGGCCAGACTGCACTACACTGATTACCCCGTCTATCTGAGAGGTAGTACATTCTCTTCTTTGTTAGTTGCACTGTTATTTCAGAGTCTGGTTATGTTAAGGTAAACTAAGCTGTAACAATTTACATTTATCCCATCAGGTGATTTTTTTGCCTCAGAGGAGTACGGCTTTTTCTTGTACCCTGTGTTTGCTGAGGGAGAAGGGGAGCCGATTTACACTTTAGGTATGCTCACTGCGCACGGGTTGTGTCATCTGCAGCACTAAAGGATGACAAAATGCCTCTTGTTGTTCTCGCAGTTAAAGCTCTCATGTGTGTTACAGCCACCAGAGGAGATCCTGAGGCCTACATAATGCTGATGATCATCTCCTTTCTTTTCATCATCCTGTTTGTCACCCTGGTTCTCTCCCAAAACCAGTAAGAGCTATTCCAGAAAAATGTATTTACAAACTGACACAAATGTGTAAGAGGGTAAAGCGATAAAACATTCAGACTTTTTGCAAAAAAACCTCTCTGGCCATTTTTCAGTGATGTGACTCAGGAACAGGAGAGACTGTGACACTAATCTTTAGCGCTCACCAATCAAAAGTCGTCAATTAGTAAATTACATTTGTCTGGACAGGCCTGGATGTACTGTAAACTGTAGCTTGCCTGGTTTGTGGAGGTACACAGCCAGAACATGATAATTCTAGGGTTCACTGTTTGATCTTGTAAAACTAACCCTGAATATACACGATTAGTTTTTTTTATCCGAACAGACACCTGTAAGAAATGATATATGATAGTAATTTCTATGGTGCAGTCTAATTAAGGGCACAGAGACACTGACCATGAAAAATTAGTGGTGTGACATTTAACAGGTCACCAGGGTGTAATTACGCTTGATGTTGGCTGATAAAAGGTGGAAAAATTAGAGCCGAGAGAGGAAGGGGAAAGGAGCGTTTAGGCATCAAATGTCTAACATGAATATCTGCTACATTTCCAGGATGAAAAAGTTTGTATGGAAGGATGTTCCCAATCCAAGGAAGTGTTCATGGGCTAAAGGAATAGACTTCAAAAAGGTATGAAATGTACACTGTGAATGTCATTGTTGACTCATCCGTTTACTAACCCTAAAATCTTAACATCTAGGTCATACTAGCCCTAAAGAACAACATCACATGAAAGAAGCTAATTTGCACTGTTTTCAAATAAAAATAGAGAATTTTGATCAGTGTTTCAATCTGCATGCTGGAAAATGACTAAGGTAGCTTAGTGTAAGTCGGAGAAAGTCTGACTCTGACAGATGCTGTTACCTGCCAACACGATCGCTTATTAACATGATCTTATTTTCTTAAAGAGCGAGTGGAACCTCACATATACCTTTTGTTAAATTACAAGTGTTTTACAAGTGTTACAATTACAAGTGATTGTTTTTAACTTTAGATTTTGTGTCAATTAAAAAGAGACCAGAGATATCTCAGCCAAAAAAGAATTATTCAAAAAAGTGCCGCACAAAGGTTGGAGGTTAATCGAGAAAATCACTCTGCAGAGGCACACACATGCAAAGGTGATTTGTGATTAGACACAGGCAGGGACGAGATACAAGCAGAACTAATGAAGATGTGGCAGAAAATCGCAAAGGAGACAAAAACAAAGACAGGAAGTAAACACAAAAAGAGACACATGAGACAGGAAGCCATCAAAGTAAACAGGCAGTAGTCAAAAGACACAAAACACTGATAACGGGGACAGGAAGCACTTGAAAACAATCATAATAACAGAAAGATAGAGAGAAAAGAAATGAAGGAAATAAAAAAAGACGAGAAAGCAGAAACTAAAAACAATAAAATACCAGGAAAAGGAGCAAGAGCACTGAAATGAATCGATTTAAAAACACTTACCATGCAAGTTCTTCAGTAGTTCCTGTCTATCTTGATAAATAAAGAGGCAGAAGCACGATGACTTTGTAGCTACCTGTGGACAACATGTTTGTCATGCATGTTTGTCGCCATCTGTAGGTTATTAATGCTTGTGAGCGGTTTGCTACCCTCAGGGATCAGTACAGCAAGAAAATATGCATTTAGTCTCTTCTTAACGGTCTTTTCCATCATAAGTGGATTCTCTGCAGTGTTTTCTCGTGGCCATATGCTTCATTATTCATCAGCTCTGAAACTTTCTCCAGGTGGACACCTTTGACTATCTGTTCCGACCACAGGAAGGTCTGCCGGTCTGGCCGCTGCTCATGCCCTCTGAGAACATCTCCCAGGTCATTATAGTGGACAAAGTTCTGACTACGGCCCTGATCCAAAACCCACTTCCAGACCCTGCAGATGCCTTAGCTGGCTCCCATTCGCCTGGGTTTGACCTGAATGTCGATCAGTTCATGGAGAATGAGACTCTCCCTGTTGAGGGTCCTTCTTCAGCTGTTCTGGATATGTTAACTACTTCAAGCCCAAGAGCAGATGATCTGCAGCCAGCTGATCCCTCAGTGGACCAACATCCAGGTAGCACCGACAACTCTGGGCAGTCTTCAGTCACTTACACTGCTGTTCTGGTCTCCAATCCCAGTCAGGACCAGCAGCCCCCCATTCATCTGCCTTACAAGGATGGTAGTGATAACAGCTCAAGCGATGAGGGAAATTTCTCTGCCAACAACTCTGACATTTCAGGATCTTTTCCCGGTGGCCTCTGGGAGCTGGAAAGCTGTCGTGGTTTGGAGATGGATGACCCGAGGCGCTCCTGCTCGAACAACTCTGTGGAGGAGCTTTCTCAAACATCAGATCAAGAAGACGAGCATGGCGTGAGACGGGAGAAGGACTTGTATTATCTAGGAATGGACTACCCAGCAGAGGATGAGGAGAGTGAGAAAGACGACGAGCAGAGTGAAGACGAAGAAGCCAAAGTGGAGCTGCTTAAAAGTACTCCTTTGAACAGAGGGCACTGTTCCTTGGAGTTGCATCCTTTGCTCAGTCAAGATAACCCGAGCGAGCCCGGGATCCTGCCGTCACCGTCGACGTGTGGCTTCGCCATGCCATACCTGCCTCAGTTCAGAACTGCTACGTGCACAGTGCAACACACACAACTTGAACCCAGCTGTGATTAACGTGTGCACCATTAAATCCATAATGTGACGCATCAGCATTTGCCAAAGCTGATTTGCATCTGTTCCTTTGGGCATAATGAGGTGTGAGGCCAGAAAAAGTAAAAAAAAAAAGAATTACCTCAAGCTTTGTATGATTGCAAGTTGATGTTCATCAATGCTGCTATTGTGTGCTGTTGGAAAAGACATCAGGAGGGCACAAGCCTCAGGAGAAGGCATTTCTTTCTTTCTTTGTTGGGCATTAAAACCCAGATTTTACTGTGTCATACTGCAACTGTGCCGTATCTGTGGCTGATGTTAAAAAAAGTAGAGCTACAGGCAAGGCTGCGCAAGCAGCATACCGGTCTTTGAGAAGAAAGGAAAAAAGAGGTCTTACAATAGGCGTACAACCGATTACGCACAGGTGGTCATACCATACATGCTCAGAATCAAAGGGTGCTCTTTGTGCCTACGTTTGCACTCCCATATTACAGAAAACCATTCTTTTCATTCTCGCTACTGATTCCTTTTTGCTACATTCACAGAAAGATTAAAGAGTTTCACAGAGAATGGAAAAAAAAACAAGGAAGCGAGAGAGAAAAAAGGCTCATCATCTGCATATTTTCAGCTTTCTTGGCACACATTTGAGTGTAAAGTAAAAGCAACGCTTGGATGTTGCTTCAAAGCTATTGGTGTGACTAAATGAGAACAGCTGAAGGTGGTGAATTACTGCAGGCAACGCTTTTGGACACTTCATGTACTGCAGTGTAGCTTTTGTATCAACATCTGCATGGACTATCTCAGCCATCAAACCATCAAGCCTTTTTGCACTTTGTGCTTTAACGTGTTTAAGAGTTTGTTCCAGTATGTGAGAAACGTGGCGTCTATTTTTGTGCTATAGTTTTGCTTGACAACTTAACTGGACAGCTTCTTTATTCTGTAAGAAAATGAAAAAGATTAAAGAAGGAGAATCCTGAGGATGTTTAAATTGAAAAGTAATGAAAATATAAAAATATGATTGACAGAAATTGTTGTTCTAAATGGAGAATGTTGTCTATTTTTCATGGTGAAATAAAGTATTTATTGTAAGTGTGTTTTTTTTGTATCACAGGGACTGTTATAAGGTTCACACTGCATGGAAATACAGATACAAAAACAAACTTTTCTTATCAATACACAACACGCTAACACTGAACTGCAGTAATAGTCTGCCACCTTGTGGCTGGAACCAGTAAATACATTAAAATTTCATCAGGCTAAGGTTTGTGTGTCACTTCAGTCAAATATATAGGTAACTACCACACACAGTAAATTTCATAAATTAAATGTGATAACTTTTGTCAATATTTTAGCTGTTGAAAAAGGGTCTGTCTGCATAGTCATGTTACTTCTCCAGCCTGATTGCTGTATGCCCTCATATACACAATTTGAAGTTATTACTAGGTGTCTGATACACATTATTCAAATTTTTTAATGAAGGACAGTATTTGCTGATCAATTCATTCAATACCTTCCTCATATTCAAAATATATAAGCCATACAGAGGGTTTTTATTGTCCAACATGATTACCTGATTCATTTAAAAAGAAATTGTATTTAGTCATCACGTTACAAACCAAAAAAGTCTCACTTGAAATGTATTTGTTTTCCCCTTTGCACAACACAGACAAGTCGATCTCTCCTTTCTATAAACCACAGGAGCTGTTTAAACAGACTGATCATCTAATAAATAAAATGTAATAACCTGTAAAAAAAACAATGCAAAAAGTGCAAAAAACTGCACTAATGTGCACCATAATTAATCTGATGACCAAAAGCCTGAAAACAGTCTGAAGATTGAGGCAGGAGTCGTCAAATTCATGAAGAATCTGTTGTCAAGAAGGAGTATTGAGTAAATGCAGTTGCATCTTTCATCCACAAGGTGTCAGAGAAGCACTGTGGAAGGAGCCCAGCGGGCTCCTACTTTAGTGATGTCAGGGAGGTTGTACCCGTTCCTTCCCAGATTTTTTTCAGAGTTGTAAGGCATATCATTTTATCAGTTGAGTCCCTCTGAATCATGTTATGTATTTATTTTTTCCATTTTGTACTTTTTTTTGAAGAAAATAGCATTTTTATGACTGGCAACAATTGTTGCCAGTAGTCACACAGCTTGTCACTAAGGCAAATGTCACCTAATAATAATAATAGAGAAGTAATAATAATAATATAATAAGAACAAAATAATAATATAGTCATAATAAATAATAACAAAAAGGTGGAGCCTCAGGTTCCCCCTGTATAAAATTCAAAACATCAAACAATTTGAACTGATTTCTTTATTCTCAATTTTTTTATACTCAAAAACTCAACAAACATTTTTTTCTTAGAACCTCTAAAAACATAAAAACATAAAAACATATATAACATATTTCTTCCCATACATTCCATCATCTTTCATGCATGTTCTACGCATCGTGCCACAGCTGCCATAGCCTCTCAGGGTCATCTCATCCACCAGGGACAGGGTTGTGAAGAGGTTGTCGTGGTAAAACTTGACTCCAGGTGGCACTTCAGCTTTCTCTGCCAGGCCAAGAACCACACTTGGACCCTGACCAAGTCCAGTTTCCACCAGATGTGTGTGGCTTCCTACATATGGCTCCATCTGATGGACAAACCCGGAGGAGGATGCTAAGCTCCATATTTTATACCCAAAACGAATAGGCTTCCCTCTAATAAACTGTTTGCACCCATGCCTTCCAAAATACTCAATCATCATCTCATCTACTGCCACATGTTCTGCTATCGGGATTGCGTTGTTGATGTCATTTAGATGCTTAAAAAGGGGACGCACCTTGAAGAACGGGTCAGCTGTGATCTTCATGTTGTCTACTAAATGAACAGAAGACATAATTTCATCAAACCTGTTCCTCCGCATGGCATCTTTTACAGCATTGTTGCTGACATCACAATCGTCTGACCAGAGAAGACGCCGCCTTGGGACTGTGTTGTATCCACTGATCAACAGAATACCGTAGAATGTAAGAAGTTCATCCTCAGTCAGGTTGAGCGTTTTCCCTTTTTGTTCAGCGTAGAGATTGGACATTTCCAGTGTGACATCTCTGAGGGACTTGGGATAAAATGTGAGGAAGATATCCACTGGATCATCTGATGTGAAGCCAGGATCATGTTCTTTGGGGACATAGCGAGGGATCTGATATTTTTTGTTGGCTTGTGCTGGTGCTTTGGCCGCAATTTTGATTTTTTTGAATTTCCTGTCTTGGTTCTTAGTTTTGTGGAGCATGGGCCCAACAATCTGACTGGTCACCTTTTCATTTGTGCCACTGACCTTTCTAGTCTCTGTCTGACTCACTGAGGATGAGCACCCAGGATCATCATCGGGGGGATTTGGCAGCTGCATGTCCGAATTAGGTAGAAAGCCTTCACCTTTGAGTACTCTTGATGGGAGGCGGTTATGGTCACCAGTGGCCTCATCATCAGATTGGTCACTGTCACAGTCTGTGTCATGTGCGTGCATTTCTGACTCAGGCACAACTGTGATGTCCGCCACAGTTTCAGAGTCCTGCAGCATGGCCAGGATCTCTGCTACGGTGTACCTAAGGAAAGGACAACATACATGTTAGCTAGCAAGCGAATTTTAGCTAGCAAGAAAATGATGTATGGTAATGTATAAAAATCCTATACACAGAGGCCTTGAATACCTGTGAATTTATTTAGCTAGGAATTATTCTAAAAGGACTAAAATGAGCCATTGTACATCATTCTACAATTTTAAATAAGTAAATTAGGAGCAATCCTGCAGACAGTGTTTTCCTTTAGTTAGCGACATGCTATGTGCCCACTGGCAACTTTTGTTGCCACTCACAGAAATAAGCCCATGAACAAAAAAATATTTATCCTAGGTACAATTTTTTTGGGGAGGGTTACTCTAGAGACTTGAATGATTAAATAATTATAAATATGTTTGGGGGGAAAGTCATAAGAAATTTATGAAAATTACCTCTTTCCAGGATGATTTGCATCCGCCATGTCTTCAGCCAGAAAGAGCAGGAAGCAGATGATGTCATGTGATAGGAAGCACTTGGAAACGATTTTTTAAAAATCAAAACCTTTGTCTAAGTTGTCTACTAGCATATAAGTGGAAAAAGTTGCATTAGTACCTTTGAGATTTTTTATTGTGAGTCGAAAATGACAGTGATAAACGTTGGCAACAATTGTTGCCAGTGGGGCAAAAGGGGTTTTAAAGGCCCTTTAAGCTTTTGTATTTCCCAAAGAAGGACATGGTGGTGAGAATGGCTGCTAGCTTTGGCAAGGAGATGCTTTTGAAAGCACAGAGGCCATGTCAGATTATGATAGAGTAACAGAACCACCAGATAGCGGAGAAACTGTGGATATGATTATGTATCATATATGGTTATTTAGAAGTTTGCTCATTGTTCTATTCGCTGATCTGAAGCTACTGCAGGGCTTTAAAAAACTACATCCCACTTGTGATCAAACCGATCTGAAGTCAAATACAAACTACCAGAGTGATGCTATGTCTAGCCAGATGACCCAGATTCCCCAGAAGCCCCCCAGCATTGGACCTCAGTATCTGCTTCATGATCTGCAAACCAGCTGCTTTACAAAGGGGGTGTGAGACAAAACGGCCTGAAGGGAAAGTGCTGCATATGTGAACGTTCTGTGGTGCCCTGCTGATCTCTCAGCTGTGACACATTAACCACACATATAAGCGTTCAAAAAGGTGACTGACCGCCCACCAAGAAACCCTTACTGTAATAAATTGTATGAAAAACGGATTTTAGAACAGAAATGCTTTTTGATCACAGCTAAAGCTTGATTTAGACTGTATAGAAAGAAGATTTCACAAGCTGATTAAGTCTTTGAACTCACACCACACTAAATAAAGTAGGAGTATGTAATCTCATTCTTGACATCAAGATTTTGCTCATTAGTGGAAAATGGGGTAAAGTGGACTCTGGTAGAAAAATAAGATTATGCTTAATAACTCACATTTTGAAGGTCGCATGAGATGCTGGACTTTCCTGGCAGAAATTAGTCTGTTCAGAATCATGGCCGCAAGTGTTTTTTCAAAATATGTTTTTCCTCTAAAACAGTCATGCTTACAGGGGCTGTGATGATAATATATGTTCTTAAATAACATGTAGAACATTTATTTTGTTTTTATCCTGCACAGATGCTTCTTTACCTCCCTGGAAATTAAACTTTCTTCTAAAACATCTCAGATGTCTTCAGTTTATGTAAACATAAGCATGTAGGAGTCTAATGGAGAATCAGTTGTAGAGAAAAGGTTTTCTTGTACATTACATCCTGCCATCGAGATGTCAGCATTGGCAGACCAGACTTCTTTGCATTTGCAGAGTATCCCCTGTGAAACCAGCTCCCTGTTTGGATCATGGGGACTGACACCCTCTTTACTTTTAGGCTTTGGTGTAAAACTTTCCTTATGGTTAAACCTGATCAGGAACTTCCCCTTGATGGACAGTGAGTCCTTCCTTTTTACTCAATTTGCGCTTAAACATAAGTCTACATTTAATTATTAGTTATTATTAATCTCTGCCTCTCTTCCACTGCATGTCTTTTGTCCTGTCTTCCTCCTCTGGAGTTTTTTCTTCCCACTCTCGCCAAAGCACTTGCTCACAGGGGGTTGTCTGAGTTTGGAGTCTTCTCTCTCTTATTGTAGGGTTTTTACCTTACAATATCAAGCTCCTTAAGTCGATTGTTTTGTTGTGTTGTGATTTTGCGCAACATAAATAAAACGTCTGACCAGAATTTGTCCAGTTTAAGGTTTTTGGTTGCAAACTAAAAGTCACCAAGCCACCAAAATAATTCTTCAAGTTGGAGAAGATACCATTTAGCACCCAATAAAGTTGATTCAGTTCATCTGGATGAAAATATTCATCAGCCTTTTTTAGTCTCAACTGGCAGCAGGTTTCCCAAACCTTATAAACAGTACAGTTACATAACAGTGAAAACCAGCAACAATGCATAATAATGAGCTGAAACTTTTACATTAGAGGTTTAAGAGAAATTCAAATGGTGTCAGCAGTATGTTTAGCCCAGGAGGGGCTAGGTTCTAAAATGCAGATGCAATGCACAGTGATTAACTGTGGTTAGGAAACACCCACTTTTGTTTAATTACAAGCGTTTACAAAAATCCTCTGGATTTTCCCAGACAGAGCGGTTACAATTAGTCATTTTGTGTAATACCAGATGGCCGGTGAGTGTGCCCAAAAAGAGAGAAAAAAAAGAAAATTAAGAAAATAAAAACTAAGCTGGCAATCCATGAAATGTTTACCGTTGTTTAGACCAAGTACTGATACTATTACATGTGATGTGTTACGTTGATATAACAGAATGACTTTATTAGATTTGTGAAAAGGTTTTGCACACCATGGCCTTGTCGCCCTGACCGTCAGTGAACTGACAGATTGCTCTAAACTGCAAATACGTCTGCATGTTCTGACATCACTCTTCATGCTCCAGCTGTTGTCATCAACCCCGTTAATGTGAATCGGGAGAACGATTTAGCAGCTCCTCATTGTAAATCCCTCATTGATTGCCTGGCATTCATTTGTGCACTGATCGTGACAGGCTTTATCCACTGATGTTTGCCCAAGTTGGCTTTGAAGGTCTTAACATCTGGGTTAAAGGTCAAAATGTGACAAGTTCACCAAAAAAATAAGAAGATAACAACTGAAATGAGGCAAATCTGCTGGTTTAGAGCTGTGTGTGTGCTTTGCATTGGATATTATCTCTATAAATAAAGAAAAGTTGGTTTGGTTGCGAGAGACCGCTGCACTGCATGCTGAAAAGATTTGGAGTTTTAGGAATGTCTTTCTTTCCCTTGCTGTAATCTCCAGAGAGAGCTCGATGGTATAAAGTCAGCGGTATCAACATTCGTGAGGATCGACAAGGAAACATCAAACAAATGTGGTAACAATATGTGTAACAACAGGTGAGCAGAGCAGAGCAAACAAGGGAAAGCAGAGTAAGGAAGAAAGCATGTGGACAGAAGCCGTGCTGCCCTCCAAGCTGTTTGCTGCCCTTTGCTATCTCGTCAAACACCTGCGATATTTCAGAGCAAGAATTTTACCAGTGATCTATCCTAGGTACTGTATACAACTTCAAGAGCCTTGATACAATAGGGCAGGTGTTACAGATGAACTAGAGACCAATATTATTTATTCCTCAAGAATTTTATCTTCGCTTTAGAGTTTCCAGAGGTGCCGGATCGCCAATGCATTGCGTACATAAATATTTATTTTGCACATTCTAGTTCAAAGAGAAACTTCTTGTATTTTCCCTCATTTTACACCACATTACTGAAAAGCAGTACTACGTTTACTAAAAAACTGTTGTAATATCTTCTGTGGGTGGGGATGAACATTTTAAAAGTCCCAGAAAATAACATGGTCAAATATGCATGTAATCCCACTTGAGACTGCTATACACTGACCAAACTATAAATGGCCAAAGTTCAGCCACATTGCAAGTCCACTGAGGCCACATGGCTGTCTAGCCTTTCCCCCTTCTCACAAACATGCTCCCCATGCCCCCCTTCCAAAACAACCCCTCCCGAGAGTAATTTAAATTCGGTTAAATAGCCCATATTCCTAGTAATTAAAGCTCTGCTGGTTGCAGACCGCACATCTAGATTCCAGGACTTTCGTGATCATAACCTTCCAAAATGTCAAAGTGATGGATATCATCCAGCAGCTCATCCTCATTGTCATTGTGATCCATTATTCTGCTTCTTTGAAAAAGTGGAAAACAACCGTTACCCTACATATTCACAGGGCACGCACAGACATTCAACCAAATTTCCCCCAATCTTTTGCAAAACCTTTTTGTCCACTTGTTTGTAGGTGAAAACGTGAGATGCACATGAGATTTTGAAAGTGACCTGGGGCAGCCTTTTCACCCAGCTTTGTCTGTATAAGTGGGTCGAATAAACGAAATGCCTCCACATCAGTCAGAATGTGTGTCACAAAGCATGCTTGTCTCTAGCTAACAGGGTGAAAGAGGCTCGGCTGAATGGCCCCCTTTTTTCACTCTGACACTCAATTAAAGCCTAATTGGTTTGGGGTCCATGCAGGCATGTAGCAAGGCAACACCCCAGGCTTCCGTGCACTTGTTCCCTATTTTCTGACTCCCCCCTCCAGAAATATCCCTTTGATCTGTGAGCAAACAGAGTAGGTTGTAGGCCAAGGAGCTGACAGCCTATTTCTCCATGAAGATAGGCAGCAGTCTGAGACAAATTTGAGTGTTTTTACATTTCATTTGAATCCCAAATTAAATGGGCACTGAGAGTGATACCCTAGGATCACTGGTATACACGTGACGATATGTAGTCAAGTGCTAATATGGATCCACAGTATAAGCACAGTTAATTTGTCTTTATATTTTATGTGTGTGTGTGTGTGTGTGTGTGTGTGTGTGTGTGTGTGTGTGTGTGTGTGTGTGTGTGTGTGTGTGTGTGTTGTTAACTATCATGGATTATTGGAAGGTCTCCTAAGATCACTGCTCCTCATAGGCCCACACATTCATGATATAGAAGAAATATCAGTGTGGTTATGACTTGTTTTTAATAGTGTAGTCATGCAACTCCTACATTATACTTTGGTTATTAGGTCTCACAGGAAAAGTGAAGTAGTTAATTTCACTTCTAATTATATTTCACCATTTAACAGTTCAAGGTGCTTAAAGTATGTAAGGTAAAGACTATAAAATATTTGAGGCACCTGCCATGACTGGTTAAGGGGAAGAAAGTTTGTGGAAAAAAACACATTAGAATAGGGATAGTTTCTCATTGTCTCACATGTAGACACCCAGCAGCCTGAACCCATTGCAGCTTAACTAATAGATGATTCAGAGTCACCTAATCCATCCCTAACCATGAACTTGATCAACAAGGAAAATTTCAAGACTAATCTTAAAAAAAAACTTTCTCCTGAATCCAAACTATGAGCTGGTTCTATGGAAAGGGCCCCAACTGCACTTCCCTCCCAGTCTGCTTTCAGAAACTCTAAGAACAGCAAGTAAGCCTGTGGTGTTAAAGCTGTGGTTTCAGAGCAAAGTGCTTTGTTTAGATATTATAGTATTATAGTACTATGAGATTTTTAAGACATAATGGGTCCTGATCTTTCAGGACTTTGGATGTGAGACAAAAGATTTAAGACTCAGTTCAAAAGGGAGACATCAAAGAGAAGCTAATGTTGGGAGTAATAACATCTG